AGCAATAGATAATAAATAATTTGGAAGCACAGCAAGTATTGATGCCTAGGAATAGTAATAATCTGAAAAATAAGTTCAGTATTAAACTCAAAAGGAATGAAATCAGGAAATCATCATGTCATTCAGGTCAAGGTTATTTATCTGGTTATATTTTTTCAAAGTAAATGATTGTATATATAGGGCAGGTAGGAGATGGGGTAGTATAGTTGGCATACTCACTGGCTATAGGCTGGATGACTGAGGGGTTGGAGTTTCAGTCCTGGTAGGGTCAAGAATATTCTCTTCTCCAAACCATCCATACTGGCCCTGAGGTCCACCCAATCTTCTATCCAGTGGGTACTGGGGGCTCTTTCCCTGGGGGTAAAGTGGCTGGGTTTTGAAGCTGACCACTCGTCTGCAACTAGTGCTGAGGTCAAGAAAATGTGGAGCTATACATCCACTCCCCCATATGTCTTCATGGCATAGTGCTTAATTCAATGAGCACAGGGACAACTTTACTTTATGTATAGGGCAGGTTCGCTCAGCAGTGGCAGAAATTTATCTCAAAATATAAGTGTAAGATTTGAGGTGTTCACGGCAGTGACTATGAAGAGTGCTATCTTCTGGGATGTCTATAGACAGACACCTATGGATTTCTTATACCCTGAAGTTTGAGGTGATATGTTCCTCCAAAACGTTGGTTAACAAAATATCTACATGACACCACATCCCAGCAGATGGCATTCCTCAAAATGTAAGTTAGATTTTGTGGGAGTATAGGAGGTCAGATGGGATTGAGGTAGCACCGAACCAGCTGGTGAATATACATTTTTCTATGGAAAGGGGAATGAGAATCATGAATTAGGCACAGGTTTTTTTGTACATAAGATAATCATATCAGCAGTTAAGAGAGTAGAGTTTGTTAGTCATAGGATGTCATACATAATACTAAAAGGTTGCTGGTGTGATATCATCGTTCTGAATGTTCATACCCTAACAGAAGATAAAACTGATGATATGAAGGACAGGATCTATGAAGAACTAGAACATGTATTCGATAAATTCCATAAATAACATATGAAAATTTTGTTAGGAGATTTCACTGCCAAAGTAGGTAGGGAAGACATTTTGAAACCAACAACTGGGATTGAGAGTTTAGAAGAAATTAGTAGTGATAATGGAGTTAGAATAGTAAACTTTGGCACATCCAAAAGATCTTATTGTCAAAAGTACGGTGTTTCCAAATCATAACATTCAGAAATTTACTTGGATATCTCCTGAAGGAAAGACGCACAACAAAATTGACCATAATTTGATAGAAAAGAGATGACATTAAAGTATACTTAATGTCTGATCATTCAGGGCAGTAGATTGTGATACTGACCACTATCTGGTGTTTGAAAAATTAGGGAGAGATTGGTAGTGATTAAATAAAAAACAGACAGGGTTCATATGGAGTGGTTAAATCTCAAGAAATTAAACAAGGTAGAAAGCACAGAGCAGTATTGTGTTGAAATCTCAAATAGATTTGCAGCTTTGGAAAACTTAGACACTGAGGTGGTTATTAATAAAGCTTGGGCAAGTGTTAGATAGAATATTAAAATTTCTGCCAAAGAGAGTCTAGGTTATTATGAACTGAAGATGCATAAGCCATGTTTCAATGAAAGATGCTCAAAATTATTAGACCAAAGGAAACAGGCCAAATTGCAGTGGTTACAGGATCCAAGCAAAATAAATGGGGATAATGTGAAAAATATAAGACCTGAAACCAGTAGGCATTTCAGGAACAAAAAGAGGGAATATCTGAAAGACAAAATTGATGAGCTTGCAATGAACAGTAAGAACAAGAACATTAGAGACCTGTATAGAGGAACAAATGACTTTAAGAGGGGTCACCAACCTAGAAATAACTTGGTGAAGGATGAGAATGGTGATTTGCTTGCAGATTCCTAGAATATTTTGAATAAATGGAGAAACAACTTCTCTCAGTTATTGAAAGTACATAGGGTCAGTGATGTTAGGCAGGTAAAATTACATAAAACTAAGACGTTAGTACCTTATCCTAGCCCTTTTGAGGTTGAAATTGCCATTGTAAAGTTGAAACGGTTTGAATCGCCAGGTAGTCATGAAATTCTGGTAGACTGATTCAAGCAGGAGGTGAAATATTACGTTCTAAGATCCGTAAGCTAATTAATTCTATTTGGAATAAGGAAAAATTGCCTAATCAATGGAAGGAGTCTATTATTGTACCGGTTCACAAGAAGGGTGATAAAACTGACTTCAGTAATTATCATGTGATGTCACTGCTATCAACTTGATGCAAAATTTTATCCACTATTCTTCTTTCAAGGTAAAATCCACACATAGAAAGATCGTCAGTGTGGGTTTCACATAACAGATCAACTACTGTTCAGATCTTTTGCATTCACCAGATACTGGAGAAAGAATGGGAGTACAATGAGACAGTACATCACCTATTTGTAGACTTGAAGAAAGCCTATGATTCAGTTAGGAAGGAAGTATTGTACAATATTCTGAATGAGTTTGGGCTGCTCATGAAACTAGTTTGGCTGACTGAAATGTGTTTGTCCGAAACATGTAGTGAAGTTCTTATGGATAAACATTTGTCTGATAATTTTCCTCTCTAGAATGGTCTGAAACAAGGAGATCTGAGAAAACCAGGTGCAGCTGAAATTAAGTGGGACACATCAGCTGTTGGTGTATGCTGATGATGTGAATATACTGAGTGATAATAAAGATACCATAAAGAAAAACACACAAACTAGAAAGGAGGTTGGTCTGGGAGTAAACACAGAGAGAACTAAGTATATATTGCTGTCTCCTCACTAGAATTCAGGGTAAAATGGTGACATAAATATAGCTAACAGATGTTTTGAAAATGTGGCACAGTTCATATATTTTGGAACAACAGTAACAAATTAAAATTTGATTCAGTAGGAAATTAAGGGGAGAGTGAATTCAGATAATGCTTGCTACCATTCAGTCCAGAACCTTTTGTCTTCTTGCCTGCTGTCTAAAATCGTAAAAATTTTAATATACAAAAATTATAATTTTGCCTTTGGTTCTGTATGGGTGTGAAACTTGGTCTCGGACATTAAGGGAGGAACATAGACTGAGGCTGTTTCAGAACAGGGTGTTGAGGAGAATATTTGTGCCGAAGGTAGATGAAGTGACAAGGAGGTTGGAGAAAACTGCATAATGAGGAGCTTCACAACTTGTTCTCTTCGCCATGTATAATTAGAATGATCAAGTCAAGGAGGATGAGGTAGGCAGGGATGTAGCATGAATGGGGGAGAAGAGGAATGCATATAGCATTTTGGTGGGAAAGCCAGAAGGAACGAGATCACTAGGAGATCAAGGTGTAGGTGGGTGGACAATATTAAAATGGATCTTAGGGAGATAGGATGGGATGTTGTGGATTTGATTGATCCGGCTGAGAATAGAGACCATTGGAGGGTTCTTGTGAACATGGTAATGAGCCTTTTGGCTCCATAAAATGTTCGGAAGTTCTTGAATAGCTGCATAATTTGCAGCTTCTCAAGAAGGGCACAGCTCCATGAGTGAGTGAAATGATTAAATTATGTATAAGAAATTTTACTTGTTTTTGTATGTGGGTACAAATGTAATATTACTTTGAGAAAATAGGAGAGTGTCAAGGAAGAAGTGCACTCCTTTGGAAATTTGGTAAGATGCATCAGAATTAACTTCTTGCTTAAATTTAGTTAGACAATAGCTCTTCCTAATGGTGGAGGATAACTCTAGTTTTTATGAGCACCTGATTCTATTAAGCTTCTAATAGAAGAAGTTACCAACACTTATCATTAGGAAATCTTTAACTGATAGGGTTCATTAATTCTCCTGAAAGCAAAATATTCCTGTATATTAACACCTTGCAGACCAAGCACCCTTTAAAATGTTTTTCGCTTTTAAACATGGCGGACTGTTCGCGTGTTAACAGGCTTTTAGAACACAATAAGTTGCAACACACTATACATTGCTCTGGCGCCACCTACATTGCACGCAACTGCCTGCAGATGCGTGATAAGACTCTGGAATGTTTAGTTAGCAGTCAGTAACTTGACCTCACTGTTTACTTAACCGACTATGAAGGAAAATGCTTTGCCTTCTTCAAGCTGTGTGTGTCAGCCAGTAGCTAGTGGGGAGAATGGATCAAAGACAAATTCTCCTCCGATGACCTAGCTGACCTGCCTTGTGGGACGCATAGTAATGGATTAATTGTCATTCAGACAGCGACAGTGATGGGGGACAACAAAGAGTTGTGGCCACAGACAGTAAAAGTGACAGTAGCTCCGACGATAATGTGGTTAATAATATTGCGTGTAGTAACATTGCAGGGACAACAAAAAATCTAAAAAAAAATCTAAACCCTGATTCAAAATTGATATACAAAGCATTTCTGATGAATGTGGCAAAGGCCTGGGCTACAGTCCAGATGTTGGCGGCAGAACCAGGGTCACATAAAGACTTAGTACGACCGGGCCCATCAACTCCCACCCCACAAAGGCCTCATGTGGACCCCCCAGGGCGACTCTTCTGTGATATGCGGAAAAATACACCCCCGTGAAAATTGTGAACAGTGAACATTCCAAGGGGCAGAATACTTCTAGGCAATGCCGTGTTTGCATAGTTCACAAAAAAGGGAGTATGTATATATTTGCAAGTTCTGTGTAATGCCACTTCACAAAGGGGAAAGTTTCCAGAAATATCACACCCTAAGCACTTCTAGGAGCGTTGGTAAGTGTTCTCCAAAAATTTTAGTTCAAAAAAATAATTAGGAGATTTTATATTAATTTTTAAAGTGAACAGTGCACAAGTTAGGGTAGTATGTTTAAAAATGCCGGTCCCCAGGGTGATTTAAATATTTAAATCACCGGTCCATGAAGTGTTAAATGCATCTGTGTCAGCTACTATAAGCAAATTTTGGCAGGGATATCAGTTGAAAATTGTTCAAGATGTAGATGACACGCTTTATGTTGCAGTGTGTGGTGGGACATACTTCACCAGTAAGGGCATACTGCAATCTCCAAACTACCCCAACAACTACCCTCACAACAAGGACTGCCAATGGATTATATCTGTTCCTACTGGACAGCAGATCAAGTTGAATGTTACAGACTTTATTTTAGAGGGAGGTTCCAACTGTCGCTATGACTACCTTGAAATCAGGTGACTATCTTTAAAATGGATGAAATTTCCAGTTTAGCCTACTTCCTTTCTTCAAGGAATGTAGAGAGAAAGAGAGAGAGACAGCGAGCGATTGCCTGCCTATCTCTATACGTCCAGCAGTTCAACTTTTGAATCAGTTTTAATGAAATTTGGCAAGAACATCATGCCATTGGAGACCACCCCCCACCTCAGTATTAACATCATGGGCACACAAACTTTTGAAGTGGGAGTGACATTAATGCCATTTAATGTGGGGTCCTGGAATTGTGGATGTTAGTAGAGTTTCAGTAAGTTATATAGGTTGGGTAAAGGTAGTTTCTTATAAAACATAACGCAACATAAATTTTAAAAATTGTGTTTAGTTTTCATTTTTATGAAAGTAACTAATGAATTACGAAACAGGAGTACAAACTATTATTTGAAGGTGAATTGTAAACATTCCTACAGATTTTGTATGCAAGGCAATTTATAAATCAACAGTTACAGACGTGGCAATGGTGAAACTTTGAGGTAATATTGAAATTTCGGGACCTCCCACATCCTAACACACAGCTTCGCTGGTCTAACAGACAAGAGACAACTCCCACCTCATAGCAGGATATTTATACAGCGCTTGCAGTCTGGCTGTCTAGAGACCAACACAAGCACCAGCCAATCAGCGCTCACAACGGCAGCTCCATTGCCAAGCTCCGCCCAGTGGTAATGGTATAAAAATGTGGGCCTGCTGAGCAGTGGGCAGTCTTACATCAGTCTTCATAAGTCATACACTTCACTGCGAGTACAAGCAGCAACACAGTTCTAGCTCTCCAGTAACAGCGCTGAGACAGCAGACTGCCAGCGCATGCACCATAGGCAGCTGATTCTACCTGCGCATGCACCATAGGCAGCTGATTCTACCTGCGCATGCATCACTGCACACCAGCTAGTCTGACTCACTGCCGCAGCAGGACAAGGGCATCGGGCTGCGACACGAAAGACTCATCTGTGCAACTGGCCCTTTTCAGGGACAGCAAATTTTCACCAACACCATTGGACTGAGCTGGCCGCTATGGAAGGAGTTGCTACTGGTACCCTTCAGGCAAGCTTCCTGCTCTAAGTGCAGTGAACATTTACTGTTACAGATTCAAGTGGCTATCTGAGCAACATTGACATCACACAGAACATATTAACTCAGAATCATGTAATTAGGTGTATTATGAACTTTCAGTACTTAAATGTGAAATTAACAACACATCATTTGGAAAACCAGGAAGTCTGTGCAGTAGAACAGTAGTCTTTATGAGTTGTACTCAGTTCCTTCTGCCTTTTGTATCTATTCAGTTAAATATCGGTGTTGTTGTAAATTGTTTATACAAAACACCATGCAGAAGCTTCATGACACTGATAGCAGCCACAGTTGTGATATAATTATGATGATGACAGAGAGCCATAATAACAACAACAATAGAAGTCACGATAACAGTAGTAAATTATCCTTAAGAAGAGTACAGTTTGAAGATGCCTGAAAAACAGTGTGCTGAAATAATATTTGGACTTCAGAGGAAGGAAACAAGAGGTGGCAGGAGGAGCTGGCATAATGGAGAAGGGTGAGATGGGTAGGGTTATATACTATGCATGGGGGAGGTAACAGATGCATTCAAAATTATGATTAGAGAATGTGAGAGAAGGAGACTACTTAGAAAACCTACTATTATATATGAGGATCATGTTGAAGTGGAGCTGGAAGGAATAGGGTTTATCTATGTAGTCCATGATATGGCAGTAGGCTCTTTTAAACATGGTACTGAATCTTTAGGTTTCATAAATGGCAGACACTTTTGAAAATATTTGAGCAACTATTAGTACCTTACGATGGATTCTACTTAGGTACTTAGGCACTTTGTTAATAATAAATTTAAAAAATAATAGTGTTAATAACAATAAAGTAATGACAAAGAGAACCATACTGATGATGATGATGATAATGAGTGATGGTGGTGGCAGTGGGTGGTGGTGATGTTCAGTAGTCAACCTAGCATTGCTAACTACTCAAGGGACTATGGTGACTGTGAGTGACATTTGTTTTAAATAATGTTTGAGGCTGCTAATGAAGCAAAAGGCTGGATCCAGTGCAAAAACTGTACAATTTCCTATGGGAGCAGTTGGAATGTGTGGCACTGCACTGCAATCAGTATCACTGATCAGCATTCATAATCAAAATATAGTTTCACGGGAGCTGAGTGTTGGGGGATTTCTTTGCATAGCCTACACCTGCCTTTTCTAAAGTCTGGATTGTTTGGGAAGCCACTCAACTGATGACAAAACCTCAGGTCTTTCATGAAATTGCTGGAAACTTCCAGTGGGTGATTTCATGGGGTTATACTGTAATATGAATTTTATTTGTATTTTGCACATTTGTAAATTACCATAAAATATGTCCACAGCTAAAGGAAGCACACCACTTTTTGTTGACTACAGCTGGTTCTACTATCTGTTTTGGTAGCTTGTGATTCTGGATGACAGTGAATATAACATATTTCATTTGTTTCCCATGTCGTTTTTTCCTTGCAAAATGATAAAAAAAAATTCTGGGTTTTGTTTTGTTTAATATTTTGTTGAATTGCAGGTTCAAGGAGTCTAATGTTTTCTCAATTATTGGTGTTGTTTTGAGCATGTGTGTGCATGTGTGTGTGTGTGTGAGAGAGAGAGAGAGAGAGAGTACATACACACTGCAGTTCTTCATATTGAAGGGAAGTAGGGGTAATTGTTTATTCCAACTTTTGAACATCGTGGGTTAAACTTCAGTTGCTGCTTTGACATATTGAGTGGTGTCATGTGTGTCTGCTACTTTCTGCCACATAATGCAAGGATATTGTGACGTTAAAGTGGTGTATCGTTTTCAGTTTTATGAGCATTTGTGTATAAGAAGTTAGTTTCTCATCTATTTAATAATGGTATTTATTATGATGTGTCATATTGAAATGTTAACACAGGAATGGAGGATCACAGATGGCACCACTGATTGGCAGATATTGTGGTACTACGATTCCTAGAAGCATTCCATCATTGAGCAACCAGCTATTTCTACAATTTGTGTCAGACAATTCTGGCAGACAAAGAGGCTTCCGTATCACTTGGGATGGAACTGCCACTGGTAAGTGAAATGTTTTTCATGTGGTAAACAAGTGACATGGAATTCTCATGTAATATATTAGGACTTCCCTGATTTAGTGTTCAGTTTCTGTAGTCAGAATTATTGGTATGGATGCCTTCACTATATAATGATCGAAGTCAAGTCACACTGATCGCATTAAATGGGAATTTCACTACATACAAGAGTTATTCAGAAAATAATCCCTGTTTATTTTAGGCAACTAATGTAGGAGGAGGGGAGAGCTTATGCATGTGAGGTAGCATCACATGACTCATTCCATAGTAAACAATCACATAACTGGTCACTTAATTTTTGTTCTTGTCTCTGCAGAGTGAGTTATGATGTGTTCTGCAATTGATAATCCTGCCAGCAGCGAAATTTTAGCTCTTATCCACTTTATTGAAACTAAAACATGAGTGCTCTGGAAGTTCATTGTAAATTATATGTGGCAGTTTACAGCCAACATTCAACAAGTGAAGGAACTGTAAGACTGTGGTGTAGAATTTTCAAAGTTGGTCGAAAAAATCGTCTCAATGAAGATGAACCAAACTGTGACATACACAACGCCCACATGGAAAGGAATGCACATGTACATTAACAATAGGAATATTTTACAGCTTATACCCATGTTGTATACTGTATGAATATTAAGACACAATAACAGCTGATAACAATATTATCTAAAATGCATTACTACAGTGCAACCTCTGGCATAATAACATCCACTTTGAGAGACACTTAACAACGTGATTTCCCACAATTATTCACACAACACTGAAAAATGTGAACATTACATGAGAAATTTTAATGTCATATTCCATAATCATAATATTTGTTCTGATAATTGTAATATTTTTATGTTTTATTTATATGACTTTCAGTTTTATTCCGAAGGCTTTATCTCATAATATATTCCAGCATGTTATTCATCTTCGATGAACATTACATGCTGATACTTTTAATATAAATTTTTAATAGAAATTCTAATATTTTTGGGAAGGTTATTATTGCAATTCTTACATTCTAACATAGGCATAAATTTATAACATGGATGTTATCCCATCTACATACTAACCCATAATCCAAGATCAACATTGAGTGTAAGTCCGTGGGCAGCTTGTGGGCAGTCATAAGTTTGCTGGACTTGGTCATATATCTAGATTGGTGTTCCTCAGTGCTGCTTGATTATGTTAGTCACAGGGTACCATGACCAACTGAGATTGAAATATTCATCCAGGATTAAAGTTTCTAGGGTTCCTAGCATACAGAAGTGTAATTAATTAGTCCTTCTGCTGTTTCAACCTCTGAAGTTGACACACTATTGTTGTTAGTATTTACTTATAGTAGATAATTAAAATATATGAAGAGGGTGTGACCTTCAATAACATGAAATTCATACTCTTATTTCATTGTAATGCTGCCATGTTTTGTAATTTGTAGCTCACTGTAGAACAGCATTTCTCATGTAATTTTTTTTCCACAGAAAGCAGTAATTCTGTGATATGTTTTTCAGATTCCATTACAGTCATCATCACAATAAAACAGGTATCTCTTAATATAGTGAATTCAAGAATAACATAGTCATTTATTATTCTCAAGAAACATTGATGCAGACTAATGTAATATTTAAGGCTGTGGAGGTACACTGACTGCACCTACTGGATCCCTCATCTCCCCCAACTATCCTGAGGCCTATGGCCACTCTGGGGAGTGTTTCTGGAGAATTTCTGTGAGCAGAGGCAGCGTCATCCAGATTGTGTTTGTTGACCTTGAACTGGAGAGCCATCCCACTTGCCGGTATGATTATATTGAGGTGAGCAATCCCACCATACACATGTAACTATGAAAGCATAACATGGCATGATTCGTTGATATTTCTTTAGTTAACTGTTTAATATAAATCGATAAACTGACTAATTAATCAATAAATGTAGGTAAATGTAAAGTTGTCCCTATGCTTAACTAATTAAGCACTATGCCATGAAGGCATATGGGGGAGTGGTTGTATAGACCCATATGTTTTGACCTCAGCACTAGCTGTAGGTGAGTGGTCAGTTTCATGCCTTGGCCGCTTTACCTCCATTTTATAGGAGGTTGGGTGGACCCCAGAGCTGGTCTGGACAATGTGGAGAAGAGAAAATTATTGACCCCACCAGGACTCGAACTCTGACCCTTCGGTTGTCCAGCCCGTAGCCAGTCACTTTACTGACTACTCTATCCTGGCTCCCAATCAGTAAATGTAACACTTATTAAAACCTACTTTTGAATAAAGAATTATGACTCATTGCTCTTACATTATAAGACCAAGTATCTTTCCAGTCATGTTGTCTATCAGGGTATTATCTTACATGTAAGATTAGTGGATGTATGTCTCATCCATGCAATTAGTGGAGTAGCCTTGGTTTCTATATTTGCTAACAATTCTGAGATACTTCAGCCCCATTTCATGCATTAATCCTCTTCCACGAAGCAAATTCCTGTTGTTACGTACCCTTCATCTGAAACTAAAACTTCTTAGAACTTTTGATGGTGAATATTTAAAATCTATGTCGAGTATCATATTTTTAAGAACAGATTGCAAGGATCTTGATTGTGAGCAGTGACAGTATCCTGTATGGAATTTAGTGATTTAGTAATAACACATTTATTAGAATGATCTATATCTCTTTTCTTCTAAGAATATTTTTTCTTTGGAGTGAAGAAAGATTTCCCTTTCATGATATTATATTGTTTTTTTCAGGCTGTATCTAAAACTTCTCAGTATTATTTCTCTTCTCCTGAATTTTTTAGAACAGCTTGACCCCTTTTGTCTTGATCCTTTTCCTTCATGTATACATGCATATTGTATGAAATTGTAATATGCTTTATTTATCCATTCATTTATTACACTTGGTCTTCCCTCTCACACTAGCCATACTAATAATTAATTAAAAGAACAAAGAAACTGATATTTTTTAAAAGCATGTAGTTACTTGATATTATTATTGATCATATTAATCAATTAGTAATTAAGCTGAGTTTGGCTGTCTATGCCATCAGAACTTTATCTTCAGTTGTGTCCCAGGAGAGTCTATTGATGACCTATTATGCCTATATACATTCCATTATGTCCTGTGGAATTATATTTTGGGGCAATTTTGCCAACAGTAATGTAATTTTTAAAATTAAAAAAAAGAACAGTTAGAATCATTATGAAAGCTAGAAAATGGACTCTTGTTGTCCATTGTTTAGTACCTAAATATTCTTCCATTTTACTCACAATATATATTTTCAATATTCATGTTTTGTGTATATATAAAAAATGTTTTGGAGGCTCATGATGTAGATGTAGTAATATTATGTTAATTATTTAGTCGGTGCCTCATCTTACAAAGTATTGTCTGTTCTGTAGGGAATGTAAACAACAAAATATAGAATATTCCAATTTGTCCGTGGGAATGCAGCAAAATTAGAAAAACCAACGACTGACTCAATGATGTAAAACATCAATCGAAGAATTTTATTCTTGTTTTATACTATAACTTTTGTCTTATATAATCTAATTTATTGTATTTTTACATCAAGTATTTTATATAATTAATAATATTGGATCCAATTTTACTAGTACTGCTGTTCAGTGATATATATATGTTAACCATGTATTTTCCTGATGATGGCTATTAATAGCTGAAACATGTCGCAGAGCCAAAACTAGGCACTGATCTTGATATTAGTTGTGCTGTGTTGTGACGATTGTAATAAAGAAACTGCTAAGAATAATAATAACCAATTATTTGATGAAGGAAAGTAACTGATAACTTAAAGATTATGTGTGAGTTGAGGTTTTCATGGTGATGAATGTTAAGATGTGGTCTTAATGGGATCTGATGCCATATAATTTGGTAGGTGGATACCAAATTTTGGGAGGCCTGTCTCCTCCATCTTGAGGAGGGAAGCAGCATATTCTACCGAAATGTTAATACCTGTTTACCAAACATCATGGCATCACACACCAAAATACTCCTAATTGATTTTTACCCCAGCTACATCATTTCTCCAGTGTTCCATGTTTTTCTCTCATGACAGGCTACTTTGAGGTTTCAGAACAAATATACTCTGTCTCAACCCCACTACTACATCTGAAAGAGAAAATTTGTCCTATAATGCTGAAGGAAGTAGTGAGTCTTTTCATGGTCTACATAAAATCATATTATCAGAAGTTGATGCAAAACTCGTTTTTCTGTGATGTGGTTGTCCACTGATATTAGTGCTTTGTATATTGTGTTTCTGAAAATCACTTGTAGGTGGCTTTAACAGTATCTTCAAACACATTCAAGTTTATTTCTACAAGTTTTATGAAAAATGTTTTATTTTGGTGCTGTTGATTGTTGACACCTGGCAGATGTGCTATGCAACTTCAGAAATATTTGTCGCCACTGTGCTCTTGATGTAATTCTGATGATTTCAGGTGTATGATGGGAGGGATTCATCTTCCAAAAAGATTGGCCGCTACTGCTCCGCCCCTCCTTTGCTTTTACGCTCAACGTCAAACCATGTGTTCATCAAATTTCGTTCAGACTTGAGTATTACAGGACGAGGTTTCCATATCCGTTATCAGACAGGTGAGGTCCAGATTGTTGTGATGTGTTTGTCTTCATGCTTTACTGCAGCATGCTGGAAAAAATAACTTTCGTACAATGGATAAATGCGGAAGAGAGTTGAAATACTGTCACATGAGTTTGTGCTTTGTCATTGTCCATTTAGTCTACAGCATAAAAATTTATGTCTTAATGTATAAAAGTTGTTAGAATTCAATGTAAATTGATTTGTACAGTGGAAAAGAGAGAAAAACTTTTCATCTGTTGACTCATGACAGAAGTTAAATAGTAGTTGCTGGTTTTTCCCAAAGAGGTATGAAAAGTGAAGTTTTGTGATTTTTGTGAAAATATATTTGGACCAAATCAGTAGGCATTTGTAATAAATATTGTAATGTGTAGGGTGGTATGTGTTATGAAAATGATGGGTTCTAGTTTGGATGATTGGATTTGTTAGTACTTCGGTTACATGTTCTCTTAATCACATTTAAATACAGCACTATCGCTGATTTACACAATTTACAGTTTACTGTTGCACATGCACTAGAATTCCCAGACTTCACTAGTTGTCTCCTGGCACCGGATCTCAATACAGAAATTAGCACTTCGAATCATTATGTAGTCCTCTTGCCGTTTCTTGTTCAATCACCATGAAACCTCAGAACTGAACTAAAAACTCTTCTGGACTCTTAACTACACTACATTACACTGCACTGCACTACATACTGCACTAGTCTTTCAGTCTAAGCTATAACAGATTCTCGTTATATAAGCTTCACATGGACCACATAGAAAACATCTTTCGTTCTTGACTCCTGTTGTTGTAATGCACTCAGTTGAGCTTGTTTATGGGTTGTTGCATAGAAATGGCGATTCTTCTATTGTTGCCTTGCTTGCATTTGGTCGTGGGGTGTTTACCATTCCGTTACCTAACAACACTTTGGCCATCCATGTTACAATATTTATACACCAGTAACTTAAATACTTTTTGCAAGCTACATTTCTTAAAGATTACATGCATTTTTTGAGAAAATTACTAAGTATGTATTGAAATGGACTCCATTTTTCGTATGTGGTATTAATATCAGTGACATCACATAATATTTTCCAGCCTTAGAAGTACAGTATTCAAGTATGAAGTCACATCAAAGGTAGAACTAAAGTTTATGAGTTTACAATTCCATGTGATATCTTACAACATTCAGCAGGCCCCTTTCTGAAATGTACTTATTACACAGACACCATCCTTTGGAAAGACAAGCCTTCCAAAACTGACAATTCAGTCCAGTTGATTATATTTCTACTCAGTCAGATTGGTACTGATTCTTAATTTTACATGCTGTTAGTTGACTCAGACTTTTGTTTGAGACAGATTGCAACACTGTTGTGACTGGATTCAGTGGGGTGATCGAGAGCCCTAATTTTCCATCCCAGTATCCAGATGGATTGGACTGCACTTGGAACATCACAGCACCCAGAGGGAACAAGATTAATGCCACATTTTCACACTTTCAGTTGGAAGTCACCTACTGGTTATGGGGGCCTCGTCTTATGATAAATAATTGTTCACAAGATTATGTTGAGGTATGGTTTTCTTGAGCATGTAAGCATATACTGGCAATATAAAAACTATTTGAAGTCCAGAGAAAAGTTCATGTTAACCCTTTTTGTATACAGTGCAGTTTGGCTGTTGGAATACCTAAAAATTTTGTACTCTACATATGAATATAAAATTTTCATGATTTTTCAGTTCTTCCAAGTAAATGTTGAGATAAGCCAGGATGCTGTGCACCTTCCACATCCTGTCCAGGTAGAAATTCTTATTAGTGCTCATCTCATTTAAGGTTGTATAACCTCCATAATTGAGACAGCATAATTAAAGGGTTTAGAGACCAGCAATTACCCATCAGTGTAGAGCATCACGTATGTTTACCAGACTGCCCCTCTTATTATCATGGAATGGCAAATGTACTCAGTATGTGCAGCATTATATGAGAACTGTTCAGAAAGGAACCTCTGGTGAGCTGTTAAATAGAAAAAGTAGTGAGAAAAGAAATGTTATATACAAAAAGTACATACTTACTTAAGTCACTTCTCAAACATAGTCAGTGCCAGATTTGAGGCATTTGTATTTAGGAATAAGTTTGTGTATCCCTATGTCAAAAAAGTTTGCCACCTATGAGCTTAACCACGTTTTGACACCTTCCATCAGCTCCTCATTTTTGTTGAAGCACTGTGTTCGCAACCACTTCTTCAGGTAGATAAACAGGCAGCAGTCGCTCAGAGCGAGATCAAGGCTGTAAGAAGGGTGGTCAAACAGCTCCCAGTTGAAATGCTCCAGCAGTGCTCAAATGCAAGCAGCTTTATACAGATGTGCCTTGTCATGGAAGAGCACCACACCAGATGTCAGCACTCCACGCCTCTTGTTCTGAGTGGCCCTATGCAATATTTTAGTGTTTCACAGTACATTTCTGACATTAGCGTAGTCCTTTGTTGCATGAATTCTGCCATCAGCACCTTTTTCCTGTCCCAGAAAACAGTTTCCATTAGCTTTCTGGCAGACAACATTTTTTTAAACTTTTTTGGCTTGTTTGGTGAATGTATATTCATCCACTGCTTTGACTTCTCTTTGGTTTCAGCATTCAGAAATGAAACCCGGGTTTCATCACCTATTACTCATATGATGTTACTGAGAAATCCATTGCCATTTTTTGGTATTGCTCTAATAAAGTCATAGCCAAAGCTATTCTCTGCATTTTGTGTGCATCCAGGAGCATTTTTGGAGCCCATCTTATGCAGAACTTGTTATGGTAGCCTAGCCTAACTTTGATAATCTCTTCAAGAACACTGCATGAAATTAGTGGAGATTCAGATGAAAGTTCTGAATTTGTGAAACGCCTTCTTTCACGAATCTTTTGCTCAGCACTTTGAAAAAGATCATCTCTGACTAGAGATGGCCAGCTGAACACTTCACTCTTCATCATCAAAATTTTTTTGGTCCATCTTTGAACATTCTGTACTGTTGTCTTACAGTTACTTCACTCATACATTTTGGCCGTAAACCACTGTGCATAATTCACAATGGATTTCCACAGCACTTATGTTTTAATGCAAAGAAATTGGATAGCGTGATTTTCGCAGCTGGTGGTATTATCAATCGCAGGGCATATCATAACTCACTCTGTAGAGGCAAGAACAAACACTAGGGGACCAGTTATGTGATGGTTTACAAGGCAGTGAGTCATGTGACACCACCTCACACGTGTGAGTTCTCCACCACTCCTACATTAGTTGCCTAAAATAAATGGGGGGGGGGTTACTTTCTGAATAGCCTTGTATTTTTTATTTTATGTATTGAAGAGTTTCTGAATTAACTTTGTAACTTTTATGTTGTTCTGTAGGGAAAGAAATGGCCTTTCAAAGCATGTATAACAATATATGTCCTTTTTCACTGTTGTGCACCATCTTTCATTTTCATTTTTCATTTTCATTTTTATTATCATTGAACAATCCATACATACAGGTATTACAACCATTTGGATAGGGAAATTGTCAGATTCTCGTGCGTATCTTTACAGAATACACTGTACCACCCTAATATATGGGGTTTGTCATCTGAATAATATTATCTAGATCTAATTACCATTAATTTCATTGTCTTTACACAAAATACAACAAATTAATCAGCTCCATATTACATTTACACACTTGATGAATCAAAAGACATAAATTCATCTACAGAATAAAAGGAATGTTTCAGCAAAAAAGATTTTAATTCCTTTTTAAATGAGTTAAAATTTTCCCTTTGTTTTATTTGATAGGGGACCTTATTATACAAACTAATTCCCATATTTATCACACCCCTCTTAAAAAGAGCTGTATTACAATGCTGTACATGAACATTTAATTTTTTTCGTGCGTTATAATTATGAATGTCTGAATTTATTGCCATAAAAGCCTTGTATTTTTTGATAAAGCATGTCACCTCCAATATATACAGAGAAGGCAATGTTAAAACATGATTTATAGTGAAAAAAAAACATACTTGTAGAAGATGATCATCAAAATTGTATCACATCTACATATTCAATATGTATCTAATCACTATAAATCTACAAATTCACTACTACTTCACACCTATAATGCGTAAAGCTGCAAACAATTAGTCACCCCTCACCTCTACAAGACGTACAAACACTAAGGAAAATGAGACGAAACATATTACAGAGATCACCTCAGCTATGTTCTGTTATATTCAGTTTTATAAATTTTATTTAACTACTTTTAATATTTAACATTTTAGCACAATGTGCACTAATGTGGATTCGTATTAGTCCAACGGTTCAGTGATGATAGTTATGTATTTATTGTAACCACCTGATGATCACATTGATCAAATCATGCCGTGGTATAGAAAATAAAATTATAATAACATGTTAATATTAGTCATCGCCATGAAAACCTCAGATCTTACAATATTAAGTTTTATTTAATTGCGAAGTATTGTGTTGACTGCCACATTAACAACACCTCCCCCATATTATCACCTGACAGTCAGATGATAGTGATGTAGGTGAGAGGATTTGTATGACTAACACTAGCCCTGTGAATGATGGGTAAGAACTGAGAGTCTTTCAGAGTTTCATATTTTAATCATAACAGAGATCTGCAGGCATTCCTTACCCAAGTTGTGGTGAAGGAACAAGTTATATTTGTGTTGTGTTTACAATTTCTTTGTTAAAACTGTCACAACACAAATATATTAAGGTCAGTGCCTAGTTTGGGACTACTACATGTTTCCAACCTGATGAAATTTGACTTGGATACTCTTCAACTTCTTGAAATATAGTGATAAAGCATATAGTTGGGCATGGTCATTCATAACTTTCTCAGACATATTAATTGAAATGCAAAAATTTTACCTCATTTAAACGTACAATAAAACTGAAATGTTCGAAATGAGAACTGTAGATGTTGACTTTATGACTCTTCACCAAACATATTTTGATTGTTTCTGCTTAAGATCACCAAAACAATGAAAATCATGCCCTTCTACATTTTGCTTATTCATTTTTATTTGTCATATAATAAAACCAAGCAATAAAAGAAGTCTTACAAATTTTATATTTCCAGAAATCATCCTGTTTTTATTTAAAATGCAATGTTTTGGAGACTGAATTCTACAGGTATCTCTGTCTTCAGGTAAAACTTACTTAGTTGGGCCCAATTGGTAAGAGTGACAGAGCTAGTTCCTATCTCTGGATAGCTGCACAACCACAAGATAGTGTGTACAAATCAAGCACAGTCACAAACCATCTGTGAGAGTTGAGACAAAAAAAACTCCACACATACGAGGCCTAGCACCAGAGTACTATCAGAATAGAAGTCATCACTAGAGAGATAAATTCTTTGTAAGGTACCACCATTAAAGTACTAATTTTCCCACACAATCTACACTGGCTGGAGTTGTAGAGTTTTTTTCTGCTGTGATAACAAGAGTCCAGATGGGAGATTTGTCCAAACTGGGTTGTCTCGCTATCAGAGACAATTTGGTGGATTCCTTATATTTCCCTACGTGGCTGTGGGTTCAACCTGCAAGACTTTCACTTTTATCCAACATATTTTTGGTACCAACATAAAAAACCCCAAAATTTTCCAACTTAATCTACACTGGGCAGAGTTATATTTTCTTTTATTTCTGCTGTGATAATAAGAGTCCAGTTAGGAGAGATGTCCAAGCATGATTGACTGATCAGATGGTCTGTCAGAAACATGTGTAATTTGTTTGAGACTTTCTGACTTGGTAGTCAGTCCTGATTAATCTGCAAGTATAATTGTAATTATCTACTGTAATGAGAATTTTTATTACAAAATTTTATCAGACCTGGTTACTTGAATGTATTGCTGATATACACATGAAGACATAGTCTTTCAGTTGCAGATGTAGGAGATGGCCTCCAGTTATGGAGTGCTGCTGCAAATATATTGAATAAGTAGTCACAGACAGCTGACAAAGGGTGGTCCTCCAGCTTGGGGATTGGGTGTGAGACTAACAACGCCTTACCATAAAAACAAGCTTGTTACAAAATGTCACATAGGACCAAAAAGTGCATAATGAGGAGCTTCATATCTATATTTTTTGCCAAGTATAATTAGAATGATCAAGTCAGGGAGGATGAGATGGGCAGAGCATGTAGCAAGAATGGACAAGAAGGGGAATGCATATAGGATATTAGTGGGAAAGCCAGAAGGAAAGAGACCTCTAGGAAACCAACATGTTGGTGGGTTGATAATATTAAAGTGGATCTTAGAGAGCTAGAGTGGTGTGGTATCTACTGGATTCATCTGGCTCAGAATAGGGCCTAGCGGAAGAATTTTGTGAACATGGTAATGAACCTCTGGGTTCCATAAGATGTTGGACAATTCTTGAGTAGCTGTGCACCTGGCAGCTTCTCAAGTAGTGCCCTGCTATATTGTAACTGTTTGCCTACACATTTGGTGTCACTTCTTCCTCCCTCTCTCTGTAACCGTCCCTTCTTTCTTTCGCCTGCGGCGCTGTCTGAATAGTAATGCAGGGAGTGGTAGTCAATGGCGATCGTCCCCTCTGCTCCAAGGACCACTTTGACCCTGCCCTACCTGGTGTTGCTGCTGCTGAAGTTGCTAGGTCGTAGCTGGTTTCAGCTTGACCCGGCTCCACCGCTTCTTCCTTCAGTTGAGATTATTAGTGGTTGGATTTCAGGATTGGACCCAATAATATGGGCGCCAGGAAACAGCTAGAGGGTGTTTACGATTTGATAGTAAGTGGTAAAGGGGTGAGCATGTGAAAGCTGACGCTGGGTTTGACTAGCAAGTCTAGATGAGTCTCTCTTCAGGTCAAATATGGATCAGGCTCAGACAAGTGAGGGTGAAACACCTCTGATCAACACAATGCACTTTACACCACAACTACAACTTTCATCACTGCCATTAGACTTGATACACTGGACTTAGGCACTGGTGACGTGACAGACTACACACTTAGCGAGTATGATTTGAGCTGCAAAGTATAGCTTACTTCCTAACGACACTTGGCTGCGTAAATTCTTACAACCTGATTTAGTTTCAGCTTACAAGCAGCAGGTGTTACACCTCCACTAAAATGTACTTGATCAGCTCACCAAATTCCTTGGTGCCGCGCTCCTGTTGATTAAGTTAAATCTCACTATGAGTCGTTATGAGAGCAAATTTTTTGGACTTCTTAGAATTATCTTTTTGCCTGAGTGATGCAGGGTTTGCGTCCACCAAATTCAAACGTTGATAGATGACTAAACTCTTAGACTGACCCCTCTGCCAAGGCAGAGGTCCTAACTGATATGTATCTGCCTATTCTCCTCTCCTCCTAATTTCCATGATAGGTCGATTCAAGTAAAGTGGAGTTGGCTTAATTTTGGTTCCGGCCAATGACAGATTATTTTTAAGGAATTTCGCCCTAAAAGACAAAACGGCGAAATTGACAATGATGCAACTTATGAGGGGTCACTAATGATTTCCTGGCACTCCCACTTTTGACTTATGGCTGGTAGAAACTGTCACTTCTTGAATTCTCAAAGTGCTTTGCCTTTGTACATTTCTTAAGAATCTCAGTGGGGTTTCTTGAAGTATCACTTTCTGTCCTTTCGGAAAATAACACCAGATGCTTGGACGTAAGGACTAGCAGATGTCCTTGTCTGCACAACTTTGGTCTATCTGCTCATCGCCTATTCGTTGTTCTTACAATATGTCTTAATTAAACCTTTGTTTCTTCATAACTTTTTATTATTAAACTCTAATAGCTACTGAAATAAAAAAAGTGGGCATTGAGGATTTCGATGGTGCTGTTACACTCTGGAGTTATTTAGTTAAGACAAAGTTTCTCCATAAGACTTTGTAGGTTATCCAGTTCCTCTTCTGAATGTATAAAAATATGTTACATCTGAAAAGAGACAAAAGGAAACTGTATATTAATGGACATGCACTGTGCAAATATCAGCTACTTCTTGCACACAGGGAACCATCCTAGCAGTAACCTAGTGATATATTTGTGTTGACAGGTGAAGGAAGGAGACAGTGCAGCACCAGACACAGTACTGATGTCCAGGAGGTGTGGATCTGACATCCCAGGCCCCATTCACTCTTCCAAGAATCATATGTATGTTCATTTTTTCTCAGATTCTTCTGTCACACATTCTGGATTCCGAATGGAATGGATTGTGGATGGTAAGGAATGCTTGAGATTTAAGTTTATTTCAGTTAATGTTATATTTTACCATCCTGTTGCACGTCGTGTGCAAGAGAGAAGAGTAAGGTGAATAAACGTATGCAGTGTAAGACGGTCAGAATAAATCATGAACGTTATTTCAGTTATTTCATACAAGATATTTCCATCAGCAATGCAACTTACTGTTCACTTTCTTTCTCATAAAATGTTTCGGCTGTACACAGCCATCCTCAGGTGTCTCTAAATCACTAAAATTGTTGTGCTGTATGGAATGTCCAACTTCTCATATCACATGTGAGTGTGATATCTTTCGACTTAAAATAAATGGACTTCATATAAAATCAATAAAACTGGTTAAAATTTAATTAAGATTTCATTAAAATTTCACTGTCTTGCTTGGAGCATCATCCATTCATCCAAACAACTTGGTTTGAGGTTCCCTTCTTTGGACTTTTTGCTCAGCCGCATGGGTGTTTGTATGTTATTGTGTATATCCAAAGTATTTTGGTGTAGTTATTGTGTATGCCCCTTTGACTCTAGGTTCTTCACCATGCCTGTGTAGTGATGTTGTTTATTGTTTGGTATCATACTTTATTTAAAGAATGGGTTCATTGATATCAGTAGCCTGTTGTCTGTATTGTGTGTGAGAAACATCAATCATATCAAGGATTCTAGCCCTAAATAACACAAATTGAGGGATATTTCATTAAGGGCTGGAAGATTCTTCCTTTTCACCATGAATTATTTTGTATCATATTCACAGGGCACCTGGTTCAAGTCTTCTAACACAGTCTTTATGCTGTGCATAAGCACAATATAATAGCAGAGTAGTAATGTGATAATGAATGCCATTTGGGGAAAACTGAAATCCATTTGAGAATGCTTGTTTGTAAATATATGAGTATTTCTGTAACAGAATTCCTTTGCAGAACACTTTGTAATGATTTTTTTTTTTAATTGTGCTATTAATCAAGGACTTTGAAACAAGCATAAGATATTAATAAATAGGTGTTCACCAAGTTTATAAGTGGATAATTTTCACTCATTTATCAGATTGTCTCAGAATATGTACCGTCACCTTATAGGAACTTTTTTAACACAAAGAATTGTTTTTCCTAATACACTAGATTTTTAACTCTCTAAGTAAGGGAAAAAAATAGTTGTAGACATGGGTAGATGCTCTCTGCTTACTTACACAGTGCTTTCTATTAATGAAGCAACTTTTAGAGCCATAAGACATTAGAACTATTGCTCCCAATAACGATGCATGTAAAAAATTCTGAAATGCTGTTTTCATCCTGCTCTGAGTCATCGACTCTAATTAATGTACAGGTATTAATGGTGTAAAAATGTTAAAAATGTGTGTACGAACGTTGCACATACTTTCTTATATGTGATTGACCTTGCTTGTGTTACCTTTGAAACGAAATTGATCGTTACAGGGTAGGCTGTTTTTGGTTGCTGAATACCGAACAACATTGAAATCTGTCTGATGGTAGGGCCAGTTTCAAGAAAATTGATACTTTGTGTTTTGGCACCTACTGAGCATCTTGTTATTTTCATGAAGATGCCACCTATGTATGTTTTATTTATTACTAAAATTGAATAAAAATAATTATAGCAGCTTTTGAGGAAATAGCCATTTTGTATTTCAGGTTTCTAGCTGGAATGATCAGATTCACAAGGCACTGGAATAAGGTGACAAAATACATTAATATTGGATACCAATAAAATCCATCCACCTGTTCAGGCACTAGTGAGGCATGCATGCATACCTGTATACAGACATACACCATACGAAATACCACTTTTCCATAATCGCAGGCTGAAGATGTGTAAAACTGTCAGAATCTTGGAAATCATTCTCTTCCACAACTATAATATTTTATCATGTATACTAATGTATGTAAGTTACATGTATACCTGTGTGTGTGTGTGTGTGGATGTGTACAGGTGTCCCGGGGTGAAAGGTCAATATTCTGGGTGCTCATAGTATCAGCCATTCTAAGCAAATCAATGTATATGTATGTGTCCTATTCTGAGCGGTTTCTGAGATAGAGTTATTTCACTGTACAATTCTAAAATTGTTGGTAAGAAAGATATATTATGTACTATTTCTAATACTGGTATTTATTGTTCAAGTAGATGAAGATGGTACAGTTTACTATGACCTTCCAGAATACTGGATCTTTCATCCTGGGATACTCTGTATATATCAGAAAGTAAAAAGACATACTATAATAACAAAATAATTTATTACAAACTTTCTGATTTCAATGTAGCTTCCAGTAAGGATTAGAGACCATGGAAGGAAATGTCTTTGTGTTCATATTTAATTTTCATGTTTTGATTATGTAATTGGTAGAAAAGAATGAGGGAAGCAACCCTCTATTGCGAAACCTAGGAAATATTGAAGGACTTTGTTGTTGTTAACAGTAAATAATGAGATTTGAGGCTTTCACAGCAGTGACATTTGGTAGACATGTGTACTGTTTCACAAGAACCTGTTGCCTCCTCCTTCTTCAGGGTAAAAGAATGTAGATGCCATCAAGTTTATCAAGGTCTTATACCCCAATTATTTGTTTTGTTAATCCTTACTGTGCCCACTTTTCTGAAGTGCCCTGTGGATCAACCCTGCTCTGCTTGCTGCCTACATTTTGTTGGCATCTTACCTAGCTTATTTTGAACCCTGAAGGTGGACGTGACATATGCTTTCAAAGTGCTTGTTGACTCTCAGTGGACAACAATGCATTATATCCCAGAAGATAGAATTCTTCATAACCACTGTTGTGAGAACCTCAAATTGTACATGGTTTTCCTCAGTTTGTCCTTTTCCAGGAGTCAGCTTCTGTATTTGGCAAAGGAGTATTATGTTCTTATCATGCTGATGTCTATATAATATGTTGATTTTTGACAGGCTGTGGTGGAATCCTGAGGAAACCTTCTGGAGGGTTTACATCACCTGATTATCCTCGAGGTTATCCTATTAACACAGTGTGTGAGTGGACAGTTATAGTGGACTGGGGCCAGAGTGTGGAGCTGACTATCAAGGACTTCAGCATGCATAATGCTCCAAACTGTTTCCTTGATTCTCTGACTGTGAGTTTACTAACTAAAAGAATCAGAAGGATGTTATGCCTTCAGAAACTTCACTTCTGTGCATTTTAGAGCTGAGGAATAGTAAGGCACTACATGATTGATAAGAAGGGCATGCAGACCTTTTTATGACCGATAAAATTTTAATATCATCATAAATATCATGGCTTGTATCAGATACAAGAGTTAAAATTCTTCTTTTTTTTTTCTTCCTTTCTCCCCTTCAGTCGTGTTTTTCCTGTTCGTTCCAGACATCTTTTACCATCTTTGGCTTATACTACCTCTTTATTACAACTGTCACAACACAAGAAATATCATGATCAGTGACTAGTACTCTGCTACATGTTTCGACTATCAATAGCCATCATCAGGCAAATACACAGTTAACATATATACACCACTGAACTGCAGTACTAGTAAATTTGATACAATACTATTAATTACATGAAACACTTGACATAAAAATACAAAAATCAGATTAAATAAAACAGAAGTTATAGTATAAAACAAGAATAAAATTCTTAGATTGATGTTTTATATCATCGAATCAGTTGTTGGTTTTGTAATTTCGTTGCATTCCCATGGACAGATTGGAATATTCTATATTTTGTTTGTATAAATTGTATAGAAGGCTCGTGATGTAGATGTAGTAAATTAATGTTAATTGTTTAGTTGGTGCCTCATCTTACGAAGTATTGTCCATTCTGTAGGGAATGTAAACAACGACTCAAAACTATTACAGAAAATATTGAAATTTCTGCCAAAGAAAGTCTAGGTTGTTATGAATTTAGGAAGGATAAGTCATGGTTTGGTGAAGGATGCAAAAAATTATAAGACCAAAGGAAATAAGCCAAATTTTAGTGGTTACAGAATTCAAGCAAAATAAATGGTTATAATCTGGACAGTATAAAACGTGAAACCAGCAGGCATTTGAGGAATAGAAAGAGGTAATATCTGAAAGAATTGTTGAGCTTGCAATGAACAGTAAGAAGAAGCACGTTAGAGACCTGTATAGAGGAATAAATGACTTTAAGAGGGGTTACCAACCTAGAAGTAACTTAGTGAAAGATGAAAATCATGATCTGCTTACAGATTCCCACAACATTTTGAATAGGTGGAAGAACTGCTTTCAGTTATTGAAAGTACATAGGGTCAGTGATGTTAGGCGGTTAAAAATACATACAACTGAGCCATTAGTACTTGATTCTAACACTTTTGAGGTTGAAATTGCTATTGCAAAATTGAAAAGGTATAAATCACCAGGTTGTGATTGCAATAAGGGAGAATTGCCTGATCAGTGGAAGGAGTCAATTATTGTACTAGTTCGCAAGAAGGGTGATAAATCTGACTTCAGTAATTATTGTGTGATGTCACTGCAGTCAACTTCATACAAAATGTTATCCAATGTTCTTCTCCCAAGTTTAAGTCCATACATAGATGAAAGTATTGGGGATGATCAGGGTGGATTTCATCATAACAAATCAGCTACTAATCAGGTCTTTTGCATTCATCAGATACAGGAGAATAAATGGGAGTACAATGAGACAGTACATCAGGTAGACTTCAAGAAGGCCTATGATTCGGTTAGGGAAGTATTGTACAATATTCTAAATGAGTTTGGGGTACCCATGAAACTAGTTAGGCTGATTAAATAATTTTTAAGCAAAACGTATTGTAAAGTCCATATAGGTAAATATTTGTCTGATAATATCCCTATCCAGAATGGTCTAAAACAAGGAGATGCTTTATTGCCACTGTGTTTTAACTTAGCTGTAAAATATTCCATTAGGTAGGTCCAGGAAAACCAGGTATGACTGAAATTAAATTGGACATATCAGATGTTGGTCTATGCTGATGATGTGAATCTATGGGGTGATAATGGAGATACCATGAAGAAAAACACACGAACTTTAATTGACGCTAGTAGGGAGGTTGGTCTAGAAGTAAACACAGAGGGAACCTAGTATATGTTGCTGTATAGTCACCAGAATGCCGGGCAAAATTATGACATAAATATAGGTAACAGATGTTTTGAAAATGTGACATAGCTCAGATATTTGGGAATGACTGTAACATATCAAAANTTAGCTGTAAAATATTCCATTAGGTAGGTCCAGGAAAACCAGGTAGGACTGAAATTAAATTGGACACATCAGATGTTGGTCTATGCTGATGATGTGAATCTATGGGGTGATAATGGAGATACCATGAAGAAAAACACACGAACTTTAATTGACGCTAGTAAGGAGGTTGGTCTAGAAGTAAACACAGAGGGAACCTAGTATATGTTGCTGTATAGTCACCAGAATGCCGGGCAAAATTATGACATAAAGATAGGTAACAGATGTTTTGAAAATGTGACATAGTTCAGATATTTGGGAATGACTGTAACATATCAAAACCTGTTTCAGGAGGATATTAAGAGGAGACTGAACTCAGGCAATGCTTGCTACCATTCAGTCCAGAACCTTTTGTCTTCTTGTCTGCTGTCTAAAAACATAAAAATTAAATTATACAAAACTATAATTTTGCCTGTGGTTCTGTATGGGTGTGAAACTTGGTCTCTGACATTGAGGGAGGAACATAGACTGATGGTGTTTGAGAACAGGGTGCTGAGTAGAATATTTGGACCGAAGAGAGATGAAGTGACAGGAGGTTGGAGAAAATTGCATAATGAGGAGCTTCATAACTTGTACTCTTCTCCAAGTATAATTAGAATGATCAAGTCAAGGAGGATGAGGTGGGCAGGTCATGTAGCACGAATGGGGGAGACGAGCAATGCATATAGGATATTGGTGGGAAAGCCAGAAGGAAAGAGACCACAGGGAAGACCAAGGCGTAGGTGGGTGGACAATATTAAAATGGATCTTAGAGAGATAGGATGGGATGGTATGGATTGGATTGATCTGGTTCAGGATAGGGACCAGTGGAGGGCTCATGTGAACACAGTAATGAACATTCTGGTTCCATAAAATACTGGGAAGTTCTTGAGTAGCTACACAAGTGGCAGCGTCCCAAGAAGGGCTCAGCTCCAAGTTTTCCCTTATTCCTTTTTCAGTTTCAAGGAACTTAAGTAAATAATCTCAGCGTTGTCAGTCTTTCATTTAAGATTTTTGTCATTGTAGTTTCAAATTCAACCCTCCCAAAAGAAATCTTATATAGGTGTTTCATTGTATGTACAGATAAGCAACATACATTGAATAGTTAAAAACGTCTGTCTCTAAAGTTGTGTTACACATGAAGCTTACCTAAGCTGTGATATGACTTACCTCTGATTTAAGAGAAGTCTTTGTTCACATAGACAGTGGTAAGAAGAACAGTAGTTCCTTTTTGTATTTATTCTTCTAGTGGTTTTGTTTAATTTCTTTCCTTTTTGTCTTGAGTATGATTTCCTTATTTCAGAGCTTTATTATTTTTTATATACTGGACTGAGTGCTTATACTGTAATAATTGCTGATAGTTGTTAGGTTGTTTATGTAAGGTAGCTCAGATTATTCTCTAACGTATGTTAGCAGAAACAATGCCATCTTAAATTCAGGTGAATGTGCCAGTTACTATTTATAGTGGTATCTTGCAGGTCTACTCGGGAACAGATGACTCAGGTCCGCAACTCTTGCAGATGTGTCACACTTCTGACAGAGAGGTGCTGACATCCAGTGGCAACTCCATATTTGTGAGATTCAAAAGTGACATCACGTATAGTGGAAAAGGATTTAGTGCCTCTTACAGAACAGTGAACTCAAGTAAGTTCATCAACACTGCACCTCTGAATCACAACCTGTTATCCTCTCTGTCATCTGGTTTCTTGTATATAACCAGTCAGTCTTATCATACGTGATTAAAAAAACTTATTCATTGTCCTCTTGTGTATGCCCAAGGTACTGTCACGTCTCCTGGTGACACGACAAGAAGTTAATGTGTTCTGGATTAGATGAAGCTGTTTATTGGATAAGTCGTTTACAATTACAGTTACAATCACTCTGAAATAACATCTTCCAGATGATGCAACCTGACTAGTCTGTTGTCTTCTGGTTCTTAGCTGAGCTGGTTTCTTCTGCTCTCAGCTCCATTCGCCTCTGATCTGTTCTGACCTCTTCTCAATTCTCCTCTGTTCTCGTCTGGTCTCTTATTTCCTACTGTTGGACAGACTAGAAGATACCTTCTTCAACGATTCTATTTCACATGTACTATGTACCAGTCGCTGGTGTATTCTTTGCCGCTGGAAATTCACTAGTTCCGGTTTTTCACTTGTGTGGTAACGCCTGTTATGTATTTGTATGAGTTGTTGCGTGAACCAGTTTCATTGTCACTCTGATAGCGATACAGAACCATGGATACCGAGCCGTTGCCTAACAATGGACGCCCACTGTGACTCAGATATTCTGGCTTTTAGGTGCCATGCCACATTGCTCCCTCCTTAAGGCTGTTCGTCCCAGACAGCCTAATGGCATGTCACCTTTCTTTCCCGAGGGCTGTGCTTGCAACATCTTGTAAGATGTTCTTTCTTTTTTTTGTGGTGTTCATTTTCCAAACACTACATCTGCTCCCTCCTTAAGGGTGCTTATCCCGAGCAGCTCCATGGTAGAGTTCCAGTTGGTTTAGATTCTCATCATCATCCAAAGGTTTCTTCTCACTCTCTCTCTCTAGCGGTGGAGGCTGTTGCTTCTACATTGCTGGCTCCTGCTCTGTTTTCTGTATTTTTCAGTTTTGGAGGGGGTCAACCCCTCCACAGTGTCCAAAATTTGATTTTTTTGTAATCTCACAGGAGATCTGGCAATTTGCTTTGTTATTTCGAGTCCAGTCGTCTTCCTGAAGGTCTCAATCCCTATTCCTCTGTTACATTGCTGTTGCGCCCCTTGTCTCCTCCCGAGCATCCATCCTTTCGAGGTTCCTACTACCACATTGTCCCTGTTCCAGCTTCTCCTGACAAAATTTCCCTTCTGCTGTGCCTCTTTCACATGACACTTCATCCCTCTGCCGGTGACGGTCAGTCTCTTCCAGGATCCACACTTTTCCCACGTCATCTCCTTTGGTTTCTGGAGGCATCCTACTGCCAGATTTTGGTCCCTTCGCCACTTCCTTGGTCCTCCCACCGGCATCACTGTTGCTTCTTCCTTAGGGACTTCTCGTTGTGCTGCCTCATACTCCATGTTCACTGAGGTTGGTTCTTCCCATTCCAGATGTGCCTCCATCTTTTCTTGGCAGGTAATCATCTCTTTTTGGCCATCCTTGAACTCAGACTGGATGGAGTGTATTTATTCTCTTATTTCATGTATTTTTATGTCTGTTCTTCTCTGGCTGGCCAGAAGCTGTTGCATCATCTGTTCTTGGCCAGCTCTCATTTCTTTCATATCTGCCCTGCCTTTTACTGGTAGCCCATCATCTCTTTTTGGCCATCATCTAACTCTTGGAAGGAGTGTTACGGGGCCAGCAGGATTCCATCATCTCCTGTGACTCAGTCGTGTGGCAGTATAATGCTCGATGCAGTCGTAATTCCAGTGATTTTATCATAATCAGACCACTTCTGACACCAGTTTTGTCATGTTTCCTGATAATTCAACAAGAAATTAATGGGTTCCTGATTAGATGAAATTGTTTATTGAATAAGTTATTTACAATAATAATTGCAATCACTCTGAAATAACGTCTTCCAGATGATACAACCTGACTACCGTGTCGTCTTCTGGTTCTTAGCTGAGCTGGTTTCTTCTGCACTGATCAGATCCATTTGCCTCTGATCTGTTCTGACCTCTTCTCAGTTCTCCTCTGTTCTCTGTCTCTGATCTGTTTTGGTCTGGTCTCTTATATTCTACTGTCAGACGGACTAGAAGACACCTTCCTCAACGGTTCCATTTCACCTGTTCTATGCGCCGGTCACTGGTGTGTTTGTTGCCGCGGGAACTTCACTTGTGTGGTAACATCTGTTATGTATTCGATCTGTTATGTATTCATATGTGTTATTGCATGAACCTGTTTCATTGTCAGCCCGACAGCAATACAGAACCATGGGTACCAAGCCATTGCCTAACAGTGGATGCCCTCTGTGACTCAGATATTCTGGCTTCTGGGTGGCATGCCACAGTACTATATGGCATTACATTTGAAGTCATTATCATATAGAATATATTTTGTCACAGTTGTTTTTGAAGATTGAAAGGTGGATACAGAGATTTGCCTTTGAAAATTTTCTGTCGTCTGTGAAGTGATTCTGTGTAGTCTCTTAAAAGATATTAGTGTTTCAAGGGAATCTTATGCTTTCATCTTCAGTGTGGAGGAGAGAAGAGAATTCTTCTGCCCTGAAGATTGACTCAGTAAGTTCCTCCATAACGTTTTTCTTCTAATGCGCTACACTGTGTCACATTCCAGAAGACAGTATTCTTCATATTCACAGCTGTAAGCATCTCACATCTTGCACAGATTCATTTCTGTCTCTTTAAAATTCATACTTCATGCTTGTGTCAAGATATTGCCAAAAGAATGGAAGATAGTTGATATTATTACATATTTACTGAGATAAAGCAAAATGAAAACCATTTTACTGTGACGTGGTGCATATCTGAGAATGTATGAAGCCTGCAGACAAAACAGGAGTGATGTGATCCAAAGGTCAGTTCTGTAAAAGCTCTCGCACTAAATTTTTTGTGTCTACTTTGGTGTCAGCATAGCTCAGTCAGTATTGTGACATGACTATTTAGACATTGCCCGTTGTGTGCAAAGGGGTCAATAAACAAGCATGCCCTTGCTAGGCAACATGGTGTTTCATATGCGATCTTCAGAGGAGAAGAGCAAAATGAGCTCCCAAGGGATTCTCTTGGAGGACGTTCTTTCTTAGCTCACCTCACCAGAGCAGCCCTACACAGCTGCACTGTGTTAAGACACGCAACACCAGCAACCACAGGCAATGCAGACATATGGGAAAAGCTTGCAGTCCCCTGTGCAGCAGCATCTGTCACAACAAGAAATTCAGAGATGTGGTCTCTCAGTACAGACTCCCATTTCAACAATGACACGTTAACCTTTAAGTGCCGAAGTGCCCTGTTTGTGCCAGCCATGAGTAAGGTCATCGTGGCCAAAGTACCCCGTTTTGGCCAGTCAGGCATTTAAACTCCTCTAGTGGAATCGCGCGCGCACACCGCTAGTAGAAATGCATGCACAGTCCTAAATATTTATTTTTAAATGTCGTAATTACCAGACAGACTTGAGTAAAACCCTAATAGAGGAATTAAAATAATACCTAACTGAACAACAGCAAATAAAAATATACGTATGAGTTATGCCAAAACTGATCCACGATCCAGTAATTTTATTGCAGATTCTGCAGATAGGTATGTTAAAAATATATTGTAAAATTCGATGTACATACCTTTTTTGTTGTTACCTGCTTGATGTATATATAGGTTCAAATGAAACTACAGTATTCAATTTGACTATGAACGCACACAAAACAGATCGCGCTCTGTATCTCAGCCATGATGCATCTGTCTGTTCATTCAAATAGAAAGGGCAATAAGCTTTTGCAGCTGTAATGGAAGGTCTTAGCGCTGAAGAAGGGACCCCTCTAGCTTTCTCTTGAATAGCCATTCTTTCATTCTTCTGACATTCAGTCAAAGATTCGAAAATCCGAAGGGTGTAAGCAGTGCTAGCAGAAGACCAAATGATTTTATTGCTTCCATCTGTTTTATGACACCACGGACTGCTAAAATTTGTCAAGTGATACAAACAGAAATTAATTTATAATTCAGAACAACTCTGTGAAGAACTGGGAAACCAGTTTTGCAGTATGCATCAAAATTAAAACACAAGAAATTGAAAATAGAGTATAACACTTTGTATTAAAAATTTCAAATCTTCCGTTATAATATGCGACACTGATATAAACAAAGTTAATTCCATCCATTTATCATAAAAATTGAGCTAGATACAGCATTTTTAAACACAACGCTTAAAATTGATTAAGCGCCTAACAGGAACGGACATTTAAACGCAGAGTAGCAACGGGCATTTAAGCGAGCACCAGCAGCGGGCATTTAAATAAACTCCGGCCAGCTCAAGCTTACCACTATTTCGAAGTCCGGCGTTTAAAGGTTAAAAATCTCTACTGTAGTGCAACAGATCATGACAGAGTTCAGTGAAGCTATGTCAGAAAAAGACAAAATAATGGTCATTACAAAACTGGTACTTAACTTAATGAATCAAAATGGCTGCTAGATTTCATAGACCACTGAAAGTCATATCATTTAATGCAAATGGGATATGGAAGCCGCACTTTTAGCTCAGTAAACAGCTCCAAGACTTAACAATGGTTGTGAATCTGCTCTCAGAGACACATCTCAAACCCCATAAGAGGTTCTTCATTCAAAATTATCACTTTTATCAGACTGGCCACTTCCTGGGAAGAGAAGGCATTCCCCATAACCATGTAGACCTTTGCTATATGTGCGATACGTACACTTGACAAAGACAAAGCCTGTTAAGAGATAAACCTGTCCTGTTGTCAGAGATGATGTTATGCAAAGACTGAACCTCAAGGGGCTTGGTGCCAAAATGAACTGATTGGTGATAAACTGCCAGTTGTAAAGTAACTCTGATTCTTACTTTGGAGAGCCTGTAATTAGATAATGATGGCTAGTGATGCCACAAGTTGCCATTATGGGTCATTTGTGGCCGTGACATTTGCCATCAAGAGTTAATTGAGAGACAGTAGCCAGCTGGCAATGACGTAAACACGAGAGCAGAAGATTCTCCATTGTTCCAAACCATAACTGAGCAATGTCAAGCGAAGACTGTAACAGACTGAAACAGCACATACTATAGTTATTTGTTAAGTGTATACATTAATGATAGTGTTGTAATTACTTGTAGTTATGAGTTATATAAGTTTTCAGTAAATACAGTTATCAATATGTCCATGGACTGAACAATGTGGATTTGGTTCCAAGTGGGGGAATAGATTTTTCTCTTTGACCAGGCCAACCTCCTGTCTAATGGGTACTGGAGGTTTTTTCTTCCCTGGGGGTAATGCAGCTGGCATGTAAAGTTAACCACCCACCTCCACCTAGTGGTTAGTTTAAGAATTTATGGAACTATTCAGCCTCTTCCTCTTAAGTCTTCATGGCATGTTCTTCTTTAACACAAGGACAACTTTACCTTTACTGCTGGTAACTGCTTGAAATATAAAGACTAGGTTATTTGAAAAGTGAACATGAATCTAGTTGCTTTTTACTTGAATTCATAAATTTAACTTCAGAGTGTCTGAGATATCTGTTGTGGAAAATTTGTTGCCTGAAACATGAGTTCAAGATGGAAGTGATAAAAAGACAGAATTAAATGAAGCTATATTTATGTTTCAATAAAACCAAAATTGGATGCAAGATATTAAAAAATGGGTATAATTAAAAGTTATGTTATTGTGTGCTGCAACACCTAAATTTAAATAATAATATGAAGGCAAAATTTTATGTTGTACATCAAAGAAGATATGAAATTAAAGGCCTGACAAAGAGTTTCAGATATATGCAACATGTGGGACAAAAAAAAAAGTCATCTTACAATCTATAATATGATGCCTGAAAGTCAGAATAGTGGAGTCATACAAGATGTCCACTGTTGCACAGTGGCTGAGTAATCACATTCATGGAGCAATGGATATGCACGGATTAATACAGGAACAGTTGGAAATGCTTTTTTCTGTGTGGTTCATGCCAAAATTTTATAAGGAGGATAAGTGGGACTAGTCAGTGTTTGTATACGCATGCTGAATTACAGAGTAAGAAACTTAGTGCCTGCTCAGAAAGAACAACCTATCCTCTCATTGAAGACTAGGCACTTATTTCCAAACACATAAATGGTCTTGGAATGAACAGAAACTTGGTCATGGGTCCCATTGGTCCTGAAACCAAGGATGACTGTGCTGGCAAAGGTCAGCAGCAATTTACTCAAACTGAACAGGACTGATATTCCTGGACAACATCTCTGGGCTGTTCTGTTTAAACATCCTTAGAGTTGGTTCCTTTTCTGCCTCCTACATTTCATCACAGTTGCATTCACTTGGGTTCTTTGTTTCGGAAATCCGAGACGTTGCTAACCAATGCAATAACTTTTTATATTTTATTTTTCTGTTTCTGTTCTGGGTCTTGTACACAAAGAATGCATTAGAATGTGCTCAATTTAAAAGCTACAGCAGCACCATATTTGATCTGATTCCCTACTTTTGTCATAATCTACATTGTCCCTCTGTCATTCATAAAAACTAGAGACCTGGTTATGAATGTGTACCCACATTATTTGTGATAGCATAATTGACCATAGTGTCGGTTTCATGCTCCTCATCATAAGACACATACAGAAGAGTATCTGCATATAATAGGAAAAATATCATTAGCTTCTATAACTCTGCTATGCAAAGCCATGTTTCATGCAAGTGGAAGTTACAGACAGAAATAAGGAGCAAATCTACATTATCAGTTGCTTTGTGTGAATCTTTATGAGTCAAATAGGGAGTCAGGAATGATCTGCATGTATTGTTTTGAGCCATAAATAGCCTACTTCAAGCTGCTAATAATCATGAAGTGATAAGGGTGCCAGCTCAGCTGACACATCCTTTTGAATGACATAACATTAGAAAACATCAGACTGTATGATTTATCAACAGTACAAGGGATAGAAATGATGCCCTTCTGTGTAGTCTGCTGGAAAAGTGTTGAGCTGTTTCAGATGCAAGTAGCAGAATCATATGAGATGAATATTTCATGTATTCTTATTTTATATTATTTATATTTTCTGTATGATGAGACACTTGCAGGATTATGATAACACTTTATTTGAGTGTGCACATAAAGAAAGATTCTTTAAAGAGTACTATCTTCCAGGATGTAACAACAGCAGAAATGTACTCAAATTTCAGAAGAATGTACTGCATCCATTGTCAGGGCCTAAGAGTAAGCAAAGCAAGCAACATGTCTACTTGCTGCCTGCTGGGCATGAACTTCAAACCTGAAGATGGAGGTCGTCTGTACCTTTGAAACACTGGAAAACTTCTACCAGACTACACACCATTACATCCCAGGAGATATTGCTCTTCATACTCACAGCTATAAGAACCTCAGTCCTTAATATTATGATGCCTGTGTTAACATTTTCCCTGTATCATTCAAGTATCAGGGGTACCATACTTTCTGAATTTGCAAATTGTATAATAGCAATTCTTTGATATCCTTCTGTATTTTTTGTTGCAGAGTGTGGAGGAAAATTCACTGTCCCAAAGGGTAGTATCCACTCTCCCAACTACCCTGACAATTACGATAAGAACCTAGACTGTCGTTGGCTGATAGAGGTTGATAAAAACTATGTCATCTGGTTTGCATTCATTGACTTTGACATGAACCGCATGCTGCACTGTGTAGACAACTTTGTGAAGGTAAGCACAGGACTGCGAGAAAACCTTGGTAATCTAGACGAAACAAACATATGTAGTAGATTCTGAAGGGTTCTGGCAGTGATGTATAACATGAAGAACTACTTTGTTTTCAGACTTTGTCTGTCATCCAGTATTCTAAAAACTAGAAATCACAACGTTTTGGAAACTGTATCTATTGTCCAGCGATTGAGGTTAGTTTTTTATAATGGACCCAACAGAGTAGGTGTCTCCTGTCTTACCAGAGGATAGAAACAGATAGTTTCCAAAATGTTGTGTTTTCTAGTGCTTAGAACACTGGATGATGAACAAAGTCCGAAAATCCAGTAATTCTGAGAACTGTATATAGCTTTGCATTATTAATAATTTGCTTTGAATATTATACACAGTTAATGAGGATGAAGATTCCTCAGATGAACATCACATTTCTGCCTGCATTTTTCAGCTCCAAAACCATGTATGAAGTTTCAATGAAATTAGATGTGGCAGGCTCATACAAATATGTTGTCTGGAAAATTTAATTCTCATTCGTATTGGTCTGTTACAGTTCCTGGATGAGTATATCTGCAGCCATCCTTGACATATATGATGTGTGTCATGTTTTCAGGTTTACGATGGGAACAGTACCAATAGCACATTGCTGTTTTCTGACTGTGGTAACAGCCTACCAGATTTCAACAACTTCACATCAACTGGTAACCAGCTACTTATCCACATGCAGACCAGCAACATGCTGACAGCAAAGGGCTTCCTAGCCAATTACTCCTTGGTGAGTTGGATTTACAACAGCTGTTGCAGGAATTTAACCTTCTTATTGCCAGCAGAGAATATGAAAAAGCTGGCAGACTGTACTACAAGAAAGAAGTATAACTCTGTGACCAACTGACTATAGAACACAGTTTTTCTTCCTAGATAATAGTTGCTCAAATGGGTAAGAAATTTGTTAATACCTGTTGAACCTGAAGGTTCAGTACCATGTTCACAAGACACTGATGCTAGTTTCTATGCTGATCCTTATGAATCTAGCCCACACCTTTGTATCCTACTTTTTAAAATCTACTTTTATATTATCCTCCCATGCATATGCCTAGGTCTCATAAGCTTTCTCCTACCATCACGGTTTCAGATCCAGTTTCTGTATTAATATCTCATCTTTCCCAAGTGCACTGTATTCCCCACCCAGTTCCTTTTTTTCTGTATGATTTGATGACCTGAAATTGGTGAAGAGTACAAATTATTATTATTATTATGCACTATGTAGTTTTCTACAGACCACTGTTACTTTATGGCATCCTGTTCTCAAACCCACTCATTGTATGTTCTTGCCAGGAAGAAGTATAAAGATTTGAAAATAGAATATGCTGCATTATTCTAGTGTTACTTAGCATATATATTGTTACGATTTGGGGTTGTGCGTGACTTATAGGACAAGTTCTGGATTGGATGATTGGATTTATCGACCACTTTTAGACATGCAACTCGAAACTACAGGCAATACAACACTATTAGAACCCTTTAGAATCTAGTATCTGTTGTGTTTCTATTATTTTGTCTAACTTGTATATATAAATTGCATTCTGCAGAATACTAACCTCAAAGTATTTATTAGTTTGGTTCATGGTCAGCCAGTTAGAACCTACATGAATAGCTGATTGATAAACTTCATTTCATTTCATATCATTTATTTCGTATCCATGGATCATTATACATGATATAAGACATGTCATTCTTGTGTAGTTATGGTATAATAAGTTTCATAATGTTACTATTGGGGGGGCTGCATGTGAAGCATGCAGTGCAACGTGGAATTTGGGTACCAACTCAGCATTTGCTCTGGGACCAAGGAAAACCACGGAAAACCTTGATCGAATTGGCCGGTCACAAGACCTCCCAGATACACTGGTTTCTAGCAGCACCACTCCCACCGCCTCGGCTCCATATCCCATAGTCCCTGCTGTGTTTTCTCCAGCACATGGTGTCTTGTTTCCTGCAAGAAGAGAGTTACGCAGTATACACTCCTAGTGTGTGTTAAGCTAAGCTCAATTGTTCTTACTTTCAAATTATTATATGATCCTAATGTGAACTAAGTCTTGTCCACATAGGAGAGGAACTCATCTATGCTATAAAAGCAATGTTTTAATAGAAATGTTTTCAAAGTAATTTTAAATTTACATAATGCTGGTATCTCTTTAATGTATTGCGGTAGGTGGTTTAGAAGACGAAGACCAAGAT